TTCCCCCCCCCCCCCCNCTTTCTCTCTCTTTGATTTTTGTTTGTTTGTTTGTTTTGTTTTTGAGACAGGGTTTCTCTGTGTTGCTTTGGAGCCTGTCCTGGAACTCACTTTGTAGAACAGGCTGGCCTCGAACTCACAGAAATCCTCCTGCCTCTGCCTTCCCAGGGATTAAAGGCTTGCACTGCCACCACCCAGCCTGTTTCTCCCTCTCTTTTTCCTTTTTTTATTTTATTGATATTTATTGATTTATTGATTCTATTGAGTTTTCAAATGTTCTGTTAATTCACTAGTGTGGGATTTTCCCAGCTTCTTTATGTAGGCATTTAGTGCTATGAACTTGCCTCTTAACACTGCTTTCATTGTGTCCCATAAATTTGGGTATGTTGTGTGTGGTCATTTTCATTGATTTTTTTTTTTCAAGACAGGGTTTCTCTGTGGCTTTGGAGCCTGTCCTGGAACTAGCTCTTGTAGACCAGGCTGGTCTCGAACTCACAGAGATCCGCCTGCCTCTGCCTCCCAAGTGCTGGGATAAAAGGCATGCGCCACCACCGCCCAGCCATTTTCATTGAATTTTAGGAACTCTTTAATTCCCCCCTTTATTTCTTCCTTGACCCATTGATGATTCAGGTGAGTATTGTTTAATTTCCATGCGTTTGTGGGTTTTCTGGATTGGTATTGCTGTTGACTTCTAGTTTTAAAGCATGGTGATCTGATAAGGTACATTGGGGTTATTCCATTTTTTTTTTTGTATTTGTTGAGGTTTGTTACTGAATATTTGGTCAATTTTTGAGGAGGTTCCATGAGATGCTGAGAAAAAGGTATATTCTTTTCTGTTTGGATGGAATATTCTATAGATGTCTGTTAAGTCCATTTGATTCATAATATCTGCTAGTTCTCTTATTTCTCTGTTCATTTTTTGTCTGACTGACCTGTCCAGTGGTGAGAGGGGAGTGTTGAAGTCTCCCACTATTAGTGTGTGGGGTTTAATATATGATTTAAGCTTTAGAAGTATTTCTTTGACATATGAGGGTACCTTTGTATTAGGGCATAGATGTTCAGTATTGAAATTTCCTCTTGATGGATTTTCCCTGTACTAATATGAAATGTCCTTCTTTGTCTCTCTTGACTGATTTTAGCTTGAAGTCTATTTTGTTAGATATTAGGATAGCTACACCTGCTTGTTTCTTAGGTCCTTTTGATTGGTATATTTTTCCCAACCCTTTACTCTGAGACGGATGTCTATCTTTGAGGTTGAGATGCATTTTTTTTGTATGGAAGAAGGATGGATTCTGTTTTCGTATCCAATCTGTTAGCTTGTGCCTTTTTATAGGTGAGTTGAGTCCGTTTACTTTAAGGGATATTAATGACCAGTGGTTGCTATCTCCTCTTAATTTAGTTTTCATTGTTGGTGATGTTAATTTGCGCTATTTTCTTCTTCTTTGGGATTTGCTGTAATGAGATCATCAATTGTCTGTGTTTTTGTTGGTGTAGCCATCTTCCTTGGGTTGGAGTTTTCCTTCTAGTATTTTGTGTAGGGCTGGGTTTGTGGCTAGGTATTGGTGAAATCTAGATTTGTCATGGAATATCTTGTTTTGTCCTTCTATGGCAATCAATAGTTTTGCTGGGTATAGTAGTCTGGGCTGGCATCTATGGTCTCTTAATATCTGCATAATGCTTGACCATGACCTTCTGGCTTTCATTGTCTCCAATGAGAAGTCAGATGTAATTGTGATAGGTTTACCTTTATAAGTTACTTGGCCTTTTTCCTTTGCAGCTCTTAATATTCTTTCTTTACTCTGTATGTTTAGTGTTTTGATTATCATGTGGCAAAAGGACTTTTTTTTGTATCTAGTCTGTTTTGTGTTCTGTAAGCTTCTTGTATCTTCATAGGCATATCTTTCTTTAGGTAGGGAAAGTTTCCTTCTATGATTGTGTTAAATAAATTTTCTGTGCCTTTGAGTTGAACTTCTTCTTCTTCTTCTTCTTCTTCTTCTTCTTCTTCTTCTTCTTCTATACCTATTATTCTAAGATTTGACCTTTTTATGGTGTCCCATAGTTCATAGATATTTTGGGTTAAGCTTTTGTTAGATTTAATGTTTTCTTTGATTGATGAGTCTATTTCCTCTTTTGTATCTTCAGTGCTTGAGATTTTTTCTTCCATCTCTTGTATTCTGCTGTTCATGCTTGTGTTTGTGGTTCCTGCTCTTTTTCTCATGATTCCTGTTTCCATCTCAGTTTTCAAGTCCTGAATAGTTTCTTTTATATGTCTGAGTTCTTTTTCTTGGTTTTCTTTAAGTGATTTGCTGATGTCTTCCAATTTTTTGTTTTTTTCCTCCATTTCTTTAAGGTATTTTCTCATTTCATCTTTAAGAATTTCAAACATTCTCTTGAGGTTATTTTCTAGATCATTTTCTTCTGGTTCATCCATATTTGGTTTTTCAGGTCTTGCTTTTGTAGGGTCTTTAGGTTTTACTGATATTGTGTTGTTCTTTGTGGTGTAGCATGTGAGCTTACCTTTTCTACTCACCTTTTCCTCTAATAGGGGTGGTTGGGGTTTTCTGAGATTCTGTTGAATAATCTTCTAGGTGCCAGGGAATCCAAAGCTCAAATGGTTGTTCCTCGTGGTATAGTCAGTGTCACAGTTCTAGTTACCCTGTTGGTTATTCCTGTTCCTGGAGGTAGCTCAGTGCTCCTGTGCTTTGGTCAGCTCCCTTGGAGTTTGCTGTATCAGGCCTACTTTGGCCTAGGCTGATGGTTTTGATCTGTTTCTGTAAATCTTGGTCTGGATCTTCTCTTGCAGAAGTCCCTGTCTTGGAGTTGGATCTGTTCTGGTGGAGATCAGCTGACTCTGGATCTGTTTGCTGGCTTAGTCCTGATCCACCAGTGTTCTGAGACTGGGTTGGCTCCCAGGGCTGGATTTGTTCCTGGCTTCTGCTCCCGGTGGAGCTTGTTTCTTCAGGCTCTCTCTGTCCTAGGAGTCGGGATTTCTTTTAAGTATCCTTTGTTTTAAAAAACGCACCTCTTAATCCTTCCTAAAACAGCTCCACCAACTGGGGACCAAGTATTCAAACCTAGGAGCCTCTTGGGGGCTATTCTCATTCAAGCTGCCACACTTGACTTTTAAAAAATTAAAGATTACATTTATATATGTGCGTTTCTGGCTTTGAACTGAGGTCATCAAACTTAGTAGCAAGTATGTTTATCTTCAAGTTATCCTATTAGCATAGGTCTGGTTGCTTTCTTTTTTCTTTTTTTAATATTTATTTATTTATTTATTTATTTATTTATTTATTAAGTATACAGTATTCTGTCTGCTTGTATGCCTACAGGCCAGAAGAGGGCACCAGACCCCATTACAGATGGTTGTGAGCCACCATGTGGTTGCTGGGAATTGAACTCAGGACCTTTGGAAGAGCAGGCAGTGCTCTTAACCTCTGAGCCATCTCTCCAGCCCCTGGTTGCTTTCTTTAAATTAAAAAATGTTTCATACATCTGAATGCTTCGCCTGGATGTATGTCTGCGTATCACATGTGTGCCTGGTACCTGTGGAGGCCAGAGAGGACATCAGATCCTCTGGAACTGGAGTTACCAATAGTTGTGAGAGTCATGTAGGTGCTGGGAATGGAATCTGGGTCCTCTGGAACAGCAAGCGCTCTTAACTACTGAGCCATCTCTCCAGGTCCAGCTTTAAATTAAAAACAAAGCTATTTGATTACTGAGGAAAAGAATTCAGACAGTGGTGGTGGCAGGGGTGGCACACCCCTTTAAACCCAGCACTTAGGAGGCAGAGGTGGGGAATCTCTGAATTAGAAATCAGCCTGGTCTACAAAGAGTCCAAGACATCCAGCCAGGGAAACCCTGTTTGGTGGGGCGGGAGCATTCCCAGGATTGGAGAGATGGTTCAGCAGTTAAGAGTCCTTGCTGTTCTTCCAGAGGACCTGAGTTAGGTTCCTAATACCCACACCAGGTAGCTGACAGCTACCTGTTCTTGGGGATCCAGTCCCATCTTTGGCCCTGGGGACAGTACATGCATGACAGAAGAGGGCACTAGATCCCCTGGAATTGGAGTTACAGATTAGATATGAGGCCATGTGGGTGCTGGGAATTTGAACCTGGGTCTTCTAGAAGACAAGTCAGTGCTCTTAATGACTGAGCAATCTCTCCAGTCCCAGTTAAATTATTTGAAAACAGCTGGTCTGTTCAAGACCAGCCTGGTCTACAAGGTGAGACCCTGTCTCAAAAGAAACAAACCAAAAAAATTCAATGAGATAGAATACTCAAATTATAAAACTTTAAAGTAAGATTAAGACAATGAGTGCTCCCAAAAGGCAGATGAAATTTATTAATCAATCATATAATTAATACAGTATTCGATATAATAGTAATTATATGAATTCACATAATTAATAATTATAATTATTATTACAGTTTTCACTTGGTCCCATTTTATCTATATAACCAGATATTTCTCTACAATTATTTTGTGAAATTAATAACTTATGGTTTATGACTTCTTTATTGTAGCGCCTGCACTATGGGATGGTACGTGAGCTGGGAACTAAGCTGGAGACTTAAAAACACACGCACACAGACAGTGACACGGGGACCCGGGTCATCTCTGATACAAAAATGCCAAGAATGCCCACTTTAATGTGTTCAGGGGCAGCTTATATAGGGCTCTGACCATGCCCCCAGCTCTTGGTATCTTTCAACTGCAGCCCCATCAGCCTGCCAACAGGGTCTCATGCTCAGAGCAGAGGATAACAAGTTGTTTACAAGAAATTCAGCAGCCAACATTTTATAACGCACACATTTTTAGGTTCATAATTGATATTTAGACTGGGTGACTGTACTGGTACATTCCTTTAATCTAATCCCAGAATGTGGGTGGCAGAGGCAGGCAGGTCTCTGAGTTCAAGGTCAGCCTGGTCTACAGAGTGCGTTCCAGGTCAGCTAGGGCTGTGCAGAGAATCCCTGTCTTGATAAACAAAACAACCACATTTGTTATTTAAATATTTATTAGTGTGGGATTCCATTTGCTAAAGGCTTAGCTCAAAATCATCTAAAAAAATCCCTGAGAAGAGAACGTACTATTGAAGACGGGTGAAGTCTCAGTAAACATAACCAGCCTCAACAGGCCCTAGCTGCAGGCTCCCACGTTCCCCTCCCTTTCACCAGGGAAAGGAAGGAAGTCCAGGCTCTTCAGCTTGGCCTCAGCCTTAGCAGTAAACTCCTGAGTGGCTTTCTGCAGAGGAAGCCGGGGTGGGCCCATTGGAATCCCAGAGACCAGCGTCATGATGGCTTTGGTCTGTGACACTCCAAAACCTGGATGGGGAAAAATAAAGAGTGAAACATATCTGGTACCGCCCACTTTCCCACAAACATCCCCCCCCAAAATGGCTATATGCCAAAGTAAGCACTACAATAAGAGAACGGTAAACATAAAAGAACACTTGTCAGTTTGACTGAGCTGGGCGAGGTAGCACACACCTTAATTCCAGGGGTGGTGGTGGAGGTGGGAAAATGAAGAGTTCAAGGCCAGTCTGGGCTGCGTGAGACTCCGTCTTACACCCAGGGAGCTTAGGAAGCCCTCCTCTCAGGGCTGGAGTTAAGAGCACTCACTGTTCTTTCAGAAGGTCCCAGTTTGCTTCCCAGCACCAATGTAGGGTAGCTTGGAAACCCCTGTAACTCGAGCTTTAGGAATCCAATACCCTCTTCTGGCCTCTGTGGGCACTGCACTCAGATGCAAATATCACACACACACACCCACTCCCAATATACAACTAAAAAATGAAATGCAATCTTTTTAACAAAGAAATCATCCTTTTTGGGCCCATGAGATGGCTCAGTCGGTCAAGGCACTTTCAGCCAAACCTGAGGGCTGAAGTTCAATCCCTGGGACGTCTGCAAGTTTCCTTCTGACTTCCACACTCACGCTGTGACATGAGCATGCGCGAATACAAAGGAATGAATGAATATTAAAATAAATCCCGCTTGCTTGTGTTAACAAATTAACAAACTATGAAACAAAAAAGAGGCTGGGAGTGTAGCTCTATGGTAGAATGTTTGCTTAGCACATGAGAGCCTGTGGTTTCAAATTCCTGAATTACAGTAAGTAAACAAACAAACTAAATAGGAGGAGAGGACTGATTCCCTCAAGTTGGCCTCTGACCTCCACATATGGGGCTACGTAAGTTCACACGTATACTTGAAATAAATAAATCAGATGAAAAACAAACAATCCCAAACAAATAAACACAAAACCCACAGTCAAAATCAACCTTGAGCAAGAAGGAGCCAGGCAAGGTGGAACAAACACATTGATAATCCCAGCATTTAGGAGGTGGAGCGTGGGGGCCAAGAGTTCAAGGTGGGTGTGTGTGTAGCTAAAGAGTTGGCTCAGTGGGTAAGAGCATTGGCTGCTCTTTCAGAACCTGGGTTCAATTTCCAGCACCCACATGGCAGCTCACAACTGTTCATAACTCCAAGGGACCCAACACCCACTTCTAGCCTCCTGGGGTACCAGACACATGTGGTACACAGACATATATGAAACAGAACACTCTTATCCATAAAATAGACATAAGAATAAATTTAAAATAAATAATAAAGCTGACTTAAAAAAAGGAGTTTAAGGTAGATGATTCCTAAAGCTCATGGGCCAGCAAGTGAGCTAAATCAATAGCACTCAGATTTGGTGACTGTGTCTCAACAAATAAAAGTGGAGAACTGTCAGTCCTAATGAGATGTCTTCATCATACCCCTCTACTCAGGGCTCAGGGAACTATGGGGAAGAGGAGGAGGAACAATCCCAAGAGGCAGAGGGATGGTGGTGCCGAGGAAGCAGGGTTCTCCAGACACAGCGGGACTGATGCACTTATGAACTCAGAGACTGTGGCAGCTTGCAGAGGCCTAACGGGGGAACTGTCAGCCAATGATCTTCAAGAGGTTGGACCAGGTGAGGGCGTGATCTTATAGGTACCCAGAGAAAACTGCCTGCTGACCCAGGGTTTTCTCTCTCTGGTTCCCATACTACACGGCTGAGGTTGGACTTCTCTCGCATTCCTGTTTCGTGAGTTTGCCCCTTATAACAAAGAAAATACAATTGAAATATTTTGGAGTTAGCCTGGGATTCTTTGACCCGTGTCCTCACCCTCCACAGAGGCCAGCGTAGGTTTAAGTCAGGTAGTGTTGAGAGGGGAAGTGGACATTGGTTCTGTCCAACAGAACCTCGCTGGGTACATATGCTACACTCAAGGGGAGTCCACAGCCCAGCAGTCAGTAGATGGCCAACACAAAACAAAGGCAATGGTCATTTTGTAGAATCTTTTTTGTCTTATATTGCTTTGTTTGGGTATGTTTTGGTCTTCCCAGTCTTTGGCTTGTATATTACAGTTTCCAATGCTAAAGGTTCTGTGTGTGTGTGTGTGTGTTCCTTGTGCTTTCTCTTTTTTCTTGTTGCTTTATTCATTCACTCATTTATTTCCTTATTTATTTTATAGTTTGCTTTTTTGTCAGAAGGTTGGCTTTCTCTCTTTTTATTTATTTATTTATTATGTATACAATATTCTGTGTGTATGCCTGCTGGCCAGAAGAGGGCACCAGACCTCATCACAGATGGCTGTGAGCCACCACGTGGTTGCTGGGAACTGAACTCAGGACCTTTGGAAGAGTAGGCAATGCTCTTAACCTCTGAGCCATCTCTCCAGCACCAGCTTTCTCTCTCTCTTTCTTTTTTTTAAAATTTATTTATTATGTATATAGTGTTCTGGGAACCAGATCTCATTATAGATTATGGTGTGAGCCATCATGTGGTTGCTGGGAATTGAACTCAGGACCTCCGGGACAGGAGTCAGTTCTTTTAACCTCTGAGCCACTTCTCCAGCCCTCTTTTTTTTTTTTTTTTTTAAAGATTTTATATACAGTGTT